CTGCTTTTGCTGAGGTCTGTTTGCCTTGCGGTGGACATTTTGCATAGAATCTCACCGCACACAGGTTCTCTCCCATATCTGGTCCAGGAAAAAAACTCAACCAAGTCTGAATGGTGGCCTAGCCCATGGCAGCAGAAAGCTCCAATGCCAGACAGAGCACTGAGAAGCTGTGGTTCTTGCTCTATAGATTTGGGGGAGCATTGGTCAAATGGGTCTACAGTGTGAGCATAATGAGTGAGAGATAAACCTTTGTTATGTTAAACTGCTGAGATTTCGGGGTTAACTTGTGACCACAGCATTGCTGATTAACTGATTCAGGCAAAAACAAAGGTGGGGAGCGATAAACAAGAAGGTACAATGCATATAAAATATGAAATGAGATGGATGGTATCCCACTCCCTTGACTTGAGGCAAGAGGTAGGTAATGCTCCTCTCTCACCCTGACCTTGGGGACAGGAGTCACAGCTTGACAGCAGACAGAACCAAAGAAATCCTCTTCATGAAACTCTCTTAATTGTCACGCTCTTTATCTTGTCATATTTTTTTTTATATGAGTGTGGGGTGCCCTGGGGATGGGCTCAAGGACCACATCATCAGTTTTTAGGTTTATTTTGCATATTTTTTTCTTGGTTCTCTCTCTGAAATCACTTTGTAATCTGATTTCTATTGGGTCTTTGTATTTCTGTTGAAACTTGTAATTTAACATCTTATTACATAAATAAAAATAATCAAGGTTATAAGGAATTTGAATACCCTCTCATACCAGATTAACCAGTACTTGGTAAGCTATTTGGTAAACCTCAATTAAGAGACAAAAATATATAAAACCTAGCCAACAAAGAGCAAATACACATTCCTTAAGGATACACATGGAACGTTCATAAAAGTCCACTTATTGGGCTAAAAAGAAAACTGTGATAAGTTACAAATAGCAAAAAAACATACCATGTGTTTACTGACTACTTTGCAATAAAATTAAAAGTGATCTTAGAAAATGATATCCACCCTCTCATCTATATTAAAAAGTTATACTTCGGTGTTGCTCCAATATTAAAGAAAAAATAAAAATGAACACTCCTCTGATTTATGGTCTACGTGCTATGCCGATGAAGATTTTTGGCTTTAAATGACTCTTTTAGAAAATAAGGAAGACTCTAAGTAGTCTTAGTATTCAAGAAATCTGAGAAAGGGAACAACAAAATAAATCCAAAAGAGACAGAAGGAGGAAATTAATAAAGAGAAGAACAAAAGTGGGTGACAGAGGCGACACAGAAATGAACTGATCATTCAAAACTGTTTAAAAAAAATAATAGAAAAGGGATGAAATCTTTCAAAAACTCAAGAAAAAGAAAAAAAGAAAGAAAAGGAACATTAGGATCCTAGCTACAGACAAGGAGATTAAAAAAAAAAAAAAGGAGAGGAAGAGGAAAAAAGAAAGAAAGACTATTTAAATCTTTGTGTTAATTAAAAATCTAGATGAAAGACATGATTTTCTATGGAAACATAAATGATCAAAGTTGGCTCAAGTCATGCCTGAGATGGAAGAGGCAGTTATGAATAGCTATACCTAAATAAGAAACCCAGATATTTTTTACAAGTAAATATTATTAAATCTTCAAGGAGTAAGAAAAAAAAAACAAACCCAAAACATTTCTAGGATGACCAACCAGTTTGATTTGCCTGGGACTGGGGCAGATCCTGGGATGTGGAACTTTGAGTTTTAAAACTGGGAAAATGCTGGGACAAGTAGGTGACCCTACATGTTTCAGGAATTGTGTAGACAGATTAGCATGATTCTGATATCAAAATGGGACAAAGGTAGCATAAGAGAATTGGGATCCAAGTTAAGTATTAGCATACTGAATTTAAAAAGTATTAGCATACAGCCATTTAAAAAAGAAGTGATTTGGCAAAAAGGAATAGATGAAAATGTTCTCAAGTTGATAAAAAAATAATTTCCAGAAATAACAGGAAACCTCATACTTTGTATTGAGAAACATTCTAAGTGTTCTCAGTATGGTAGAGAACAGACCATATATTAGCTTAACAGAGTGCAGGAGATATTAGCCAAGATAAAGAGGCCAAAAGTATGCAAATACTGGAGAGGAAGGGACAAAACTGTACCTTGTAGAGAATATCATTGTCTAAGATGGAAAGCCAAGCATTGAGGAAGAAACTATTACAATGAATAAAAGAATTCGTTTGCCTTGGTGGCTCGGCAGAGTTCCTAATCACAAAGAGTAACAGAGTAGGATATATAGAACAGTTGTGAAGAGGAACAGAGTAGGATATATAGAACAATCAATCACAAAGAGTAACGGAGTAGGATATATAGAACAGTCACAAAGAGTAACGGAGTAGGATATATAGAACAAATAACTGACACTCTTGGGTGCTTGCTGTGTGACAGGCTCTGCACCATGCACTTCTAGTGTGTTTTTTCATTTGATTCTCAGAACAATTTAATGAAGTATGTCTATTGGTGTCCTCAATTTGCCAACGAGGAAAGTCTGGTTTGAGTAACTTGTGCGTACAGGTTTAAGTGATGGAAACAGGAATTGAACCTAGGTATTTCATCCTAGAGTTTCTTCTGCTTTTCATAATTACTTAATTCATGATGACAACAAATAAATGTACGGTACTGGTGGCAGGAACAGCTAAATGTCCTCCCAGATCCCTACTCTTTTTTCCACGGTGGAGAGTTGTAGCTGGAAGTGGTGGCCAGCTGGGGCATTTCCCAGACTCCTTTCCAGCTATGTGGGGCCATGTGACTACACTGGCCGATGAAATCAAGCAGAAATGGTGTGTCACTTCTTGGTCAAGGTGGTTAAAGGAGGGGATGTACCCTCTTTTAATCTTTGCACTGGCTGGCTGTGAACACCTAAAACAGTTTTAGAAACCCAGTGTTGAAGATGACAAAGACTTTCTCAGCCATGGGACCTGAATGACTATGTGAAATAGAGTTTCACACAATTCATTGTGTGAAACCACTGAAATTTTGGACTTCTTTGCGATGTGAGCTAATGTTATGCTAACTAATGTAAACTAACAAGAAATGTCCAAGATTTATATGAAGAAGCTTCTAAAAGTTTTTAGAAGAACACATGAGATTGGGATAAATGGATACCAAATTTATGGATGAGACAACTGATTACTGCAAAAATCATAAGATTGTAAAATATTATTTCCCTTACATATCTCTAATTTCTCTATACTACTTGACTAGACAATTTTATCATTTATTTGGAAAGTTAAACTCAGAAGATAAAACAAACACATTTTGAAAGAGTGATAACTGGTAGGAACTTCCAGTTCCACATATCAAATATCAAAGCCTCTTATAAGATTGTGATTAAATCACAAGTGGCACTCGCACAGAAATTGGCTAGTAAGTCAGTGAAACAGACCAGGTAGATCAGAAACAGACCCACGTACATATAAGAATGTGGCATATGGGGCGCCTGGGTGGCTCAGTTGGTTAAGCGACTGCCTTCGGCTCAGGTCATGATCCTGGGGTCCCGGGATCGAGTCCCGCATCGGGCTCCCTGCTCGGCGGGGGGTCTGCTTCTCCCTCTGACCCTCTTCCCTCTCGTGCTCTCTGTCTCTCATTAAAAAAAAAAAAAAAAAGAATGTGGCATATGACTAAGTTAGCATTTTAAATCAAGAAGGAATGGAAAAATAGAAAAATGTTGTCAAGAAAATTGCCACCCATTTTGAAAAAAATAATGCTGGGTGATTTCACGCTCACATTATTCTAAAAAAGAAACAAGAAAGATAAAAACGCTGTAAAGGGTTATAGGAAAATATATTTATATCCTTAGAGTTAGGGAAATTCATAAAGGAAATTTTTAAGAAGCCATAGTAAATATCTACAAACTTGATAACATGAAAATTAATATATAATGTATGGTCAAGGTGCCAAAAATAAGAGAGAAAACACTTGCTAAATATATAGTAGGCAACTAATGAATACCCAGAATATATTAAAAAAACCACAAGACACCTACAAATTTATAAGAAAATGACAAGCCAGTAGAAGAAAGGGCAAAGTGTGTATACTGGTAACTCACAGAAACATACAAAAAAGTGCTCAGGCCCACTGATAATTGGAGAAATACAAGTTAAAACAATATAGGGATATAATTTCTTGACCACTAGGTTGGGAAAAGTTGAAAAGGTTGCTAATAAAAACTACTGGCCAGAGTGTGAAGAAATAACTATGGTTGTATTTTTGGTGGTACTTTTTAAGGGAGGGCATTTTGGCAACACTGTTAAAATTTAAAAAACAGGCACCCTTTGATACAACAATTCCACTTCTTGCCTATCTACTCTAGCAATAAATTTGCTTGTATACACAAAGAGCTATACAGAAAGGGGTTTATTGTAGCAATATTGGTAATAGGAAAACTTGAAAATAACTTAAGTGCCCACCCAAAAGTGAGCAACGGGACACTATGAGGCAATAAAAAAGGATCAAGTGGCTCAAGCCATACTGATTCAGAGATAGATATGATATTTAGAGATAAGACACACCATTAATGTAAAAACACAGTATTTACAATGCCATTTATGAAGTGTGAAAGGAAAAAGAAACCCCACAAAATGAATGTTTATTTCTGTATGTACTTCTGTATGCACGTAGATGCAGAGAAAAAGGCAAAAGGGTCAACACCAAACTGAAGGCCGCAGGAGCCTGGGGGCGGGAAGGGAAGTAGGCCTGGGGGGCCTCCAGGACATCTTTTACAATGGGCGTTACTTGCATATTTCATAATATCGTTTAATAAATTAAAATAGAAAAAGATGTAAATGCTGATGCTTCAAACCCAGACATTTTTATTTGAATGGTTTGGGTGGGAATTTGACATCTCCCTGGGTGATTTGGAAACCACTGGCTTGAAGACTGAGTTGTTGGCTATTGGAGATCACATATTGCGGTCTTTGATTCAGCTCTTTATGTGTTTTCTGTAATATATAATTCCGTATTAAAATAATGGCACAGTGCTTGCTTCTGCAGCCATATGCTAAATCTGGAATGATACAGAGAAGATTAGCAGGGCTCTGCACAAGGATGACATCTAGAGTCATGAAACAGTCCATATATTTGTTAAGATGGCAGATTTTATGCTATATGTATTTTATCACAATTAAAAAAAATACAAGTATAAATCACTGAATTAAAACCACAGAGAAAGATTTCACTTAACGGGCCCCTTGGTCACTAACTCAAATGTCATCAGTCTCTGTTTAAACGAATGCTGGTTTTTCCTTCTGTCTTCAGGGAAAGCTCTAGCTTTTCTCCTGGTGGCAGTTTTCGGTGTGAGGAGTCTTGGGCACAGCGAGTTTGCCTGTCGTCTGTGCCATGTTAATGCACACACTGCTGCTCAGCCCCCCGCTTCGAGGCACAACCCACTCTGAAGAAGGGCTCCTTCCTGGTCTCAGGGAAGCCTCGGTTTACCCCCCGGTTCCTTATTCTATTTTTTTTTTTAAAGATTTTATTTATTTATTTGAGAGAGAGAATGAGAGACAGAGAGCACGAGAGGGAAGAGGGTCAGAGGGAGAGGCAGACCCCCCGCCGAGCAGGGAGCCTGATGCAGGACTCGATCCCGGGACTCCAGGATCATGACCTGAGCCGAAGGCAGTCGCTTAACCAACTGAGCCACCCAGGCGCCCTCCTTATTCTATTTTTTGTCCCGCTGGGAGCCAGAGAACAGAGAGGACGCAGGCTCATGACCATGCCCGAGGGGAGGGAGCCATGACAAGCAAGGACAAGAGGGTCCTTGTAGGAAGCAGCTCAAAAGTTCCTGCAGAAATACCTCTTTGTACCAGGGGGAGCTGCCCTAGACTTGCTATCTAAACTGTGCTATAAAACCCTCCAAATGTTGAATTCCAATACCATTTGACCCCCGACATTTCTGATGAGAGGGCATTCAGATCGTGGGCCTGTAGACAAAAGCCGCTTAGAATAGTTCTCGGCACATGATGAGCACGAAAGTCAACACTACTGTCTTGTCACCTGTAGCCTCGCCCAGTGTGGCTGTTTCGCTCATAATCCAGAACCTTTGTCGCATTTAAAGCCAGGAGAAGCAAGCACACCACATTGTGACCAAGTGGGTGATGCTCCAATTCACCTTTAAAACGAGCCTTCCCTGTCTGCTTATCATCTTTCTCTTTTTTGGTTTTCCCACCCTGGCTCCCAGCTAGCAAGACAAGGACTCAATGTTGTGCTTATCAGCCGGACACTTAAAAAACTACAGGCCGCTGCCGCAGAGATTGGTGAGTGACCCCGAGAGATCAGGGAGATGTTTGTGGAGCCCACCGACCAAGTGCGCTCTGTCCCGCATGCAGAGGCTCCATCACCATGCCTAAGGCTGGCTGCCCTTGGAGCCTAGGGCGCTGGCCCTTCTGTGGGGTGCTCATTGGACAAAGTTAAGTGCAGGCCATAAGCAGCTTTAGTTCGGCAGGGATTCCTTGGGCTAGGTGAAGTAGGAACAGACTCATGTACACATAGGTCCACTATCTCCTTTGGTCCAGTGTCTTCATCTCCAGAATTAGTTCTGCTCACCCGGAGGGCCCAGCTGCCTTGTTGCTTCTGCTACTCCCTTCAAAAATAGGATCTGTTTAGGACTTCGTTACCCTACACCCTGTTCCTTGCAGGAAGTTGAGGGATGATGCTTACTGGTGGTTGTCAGATTTTTTTAAAAAAAAGATTTCATCCAGGGCGCCTGGGTGGCTCAGTTGGTTAAGCGACTGCCTTCGGCTCAGGTCATGATCCTGGAGTCCCGGGATCGAGTCCTGCATCGGGCTCCCTGCTCAGCGGGGGGTCTGCTTCTCCCTCTGACCCTCCTTCCTCTCATGCTCTCTCTCTCAAATAAATAAATAAAATCTTTAAAAAAAAAAAAAAAGGTTTCATCCAGGCCTGCCACGTATGGTTGTGAAGGTTGTACACCGTACAATTCTATGAGGCACCATTTATATTACAATGTTTTAGTATTATGACTCACTGTGAAGTGTTCTTAGTTAATAATAATCATATCCCTTTTGGGGTAATTTATTTTAATATATATTTTTTAAAGATTTTATTTATTTATTTGACAGAGAGAGACACAGTGAGAGAGGGAACACAAGCAGGGGGAGTGGGAGAGAGAAGCAAGCTCCCCTGCTGAGCAGAGAGCCCGATGTGGGGCTCGATCCCAGGACCCCAGGATCATGACCTGAGCCGAAGACAGACACTTAACGACTGAGCCACCCAGGCGCCCCAATTTATTTTAATAATTAATTTTTAATTTAGTAATTTGTCATCTCCTTAACTCAAAGGAATGAGTCTTCAGTTATGAAGACTTGTGAGGACTGGGACAGGCTGCCAGGGAATGGTGCTGTGTCCCTGGGGGAGATTTGGGATAGGAGACGGATGTGGGAGGTGTGGGGCTGGAGGCCCAGTGGAGGCTCAGTGCCCTTCAACTAATGAATTCTGCTTTTGTTCCATGTCTGGATATCAAAAGTACTCTGACAAGAACTAGGACATTCTTCAGTGTTTCCCTCATAATGTTAAGATGTGCTTTTTATTGTCCTCTTGAAAAGCAAGAAGTCTCTTTGGACTGAAAGCAACTCCCACTCCCCAAACTAAGCCTCAAGATCACTTGTCCCAGAAATATTGGGTTTAACCCCTTATCTGAGCAGGCAGCAGTTGGTGAAATCTAGTTGTTGCTTTTATATCTGCCGAAACCTCCTGCACAAGGCCAAGTCCACATGGAACAGCGGAGCGGCATGGACGTGGAGGGAACAGAGTGTGGGTGTCTGGGCAAGTTAGCCTCTCTGAGCCTCAGTTTTCTCCTCTTGAAAATGGGTGTAATATCTACTTTACAAGGTTGTAGAGAGGATTAAAATAAGATATTGTGTATGTAAATGCTTTGTGAATGCTACAGTGTTAGACAAACACAAAGGATTGCTCTGTGTAAGCCCAGGGGACCTGACACTGAGCAGAGGCAACATCACATTATGCTCTTACAGCCTGTAGACCGGGGGTCTCAGACTTGAGCATGGAGCAGGGTCACTGGGAGTGTGTGCAATAACAGATTGCTGGGCCCTAGTCTCAGGGTTTCTGGCTCAGTAGGTCTGGGGTGGAGCCTGAGAATTTGTATTTCTAACAAGTTCCCAGTGATGCTGATGCTGTGGTCTGTGGACCCCACTTGGAGAACCACTGCATTAAATTTATTTTGGTGCATACACTTGTCACCGTCGTAACTCTTAGAAACACCAGAAACCATCACTCACAAATCTTTTAGCACATTACAGGAGCATTGGAGAAGTCCATGAGCAAGGGAGGGATTTGGATTCCTGTTCATTCAAGAGTAACTGTTGTCTCCGATGCAGAGCGCACTACGGGGAGTAATGTGAAGATTATACAAGCAGATTTTACCAAAGACAACATCTATGAGTATATTAGAGAAAGACTTAAAGGCTTAGAAATTGGAATTTTAGGTAAGTAAATTGCAAAATGCAAAGCTGATTGTAAGACATCAGTGAAGTAATTATCTTAGTGACGCGTGATTTTTCTGTGGTAAACTTGAACTTAAGTCTGGACTGTCTTTTAAGCTGTAGCATTCAACAGAATATTACAGCTCAGTTCTTCAAGAGGCATATTGAATACATGAATGTATTCTCCAGAGTATCTGAATCTTATTTTTGCATCCAGTTTTGTCACATTTCACATGTCACATGTCTCAAATTTATTTATGGCTTTGGAATGCATGAAACTAAGATATTTCAACCTTCCCAACCATATTTATAATGTGAAAATGGATTTTTTCCTACTGATACTGACATTAGACAGGAGGAGTCTCAGAAACACCATCCTAATGAGTTAGTTTAGCAAACAAACATTGTTGTGAGTGATTCATGAAATAGTGAGTCAGCATGGTTCTTTGAGAATTGACTCTGGTATTCAGGAAACAAGATAATAATAATAATATTTAATATTTTTTCTGTGATAAGATATTTTATAACCTCATACAGAGCACAGCATCTGTATTGTACTTGGAAGGAAGATTTGATTTCTAAACTTCCTGTTGAATTTTAAAAATAATTGTATTTTTTACTAATAAAGATGTAAACCACATTGTTGCAGAAAAACCAAAAAGAATACATGAGCACATAAAAGATTTACAAATTTCTTAAAATCCCAACAGCCTCAGATAACATTTTGGTGTATATCCTTCCAGACACATACACACAAATGTTCAAAACTGGGATGATATTTACATACTGTTTTGTAACATTTTTTAAAAAGACGGTACACCCAAATGTCTCCCGGTGTCTTTAAACGCTAAGCGGCAAGAGCGTGGAGCAAGTGTGCCGCATTCCACCGTATGGCTGCCCCGCGGTCCACCTGATGTGCTCCCTATGATAGGTCGACTGTTTTCCCTTCCAATTTCCTCACTGTTACCAAATCATGTTGCGAAGAACAGCCTTGTCTATAAATTTTTTCTGTACGTGTGTCCTTAGGAAAACTTCCCAAGAAAAGGAACTTCTGGGGTTGAATATAAACATGTTTAGGCTTTTAATAAAGATTTGCTACCGACTCTTCTGACATTTTTTTATTTTGCTTCTGTCAGTCAACAATGTCGGAATGCTTCCAAACCTTCTCCCGAGCCACTTCCTTGATACACCAGATGAAATCCAGGTAGGTCTGGGCTCTTTCTGTGGATGATCTCCTCTCACTGCGGACTGGGCCCCCTGGCTGGGTTGTCACTAGGGCCTGGGAAGGGGTACCTGGGAGACGGTCAGGCTGAAATTCTGTATTCCGCATGGATGTGTGTGGCCTCTCTCTTTACCTTAGTACTTGATAGACAGGCGAGGGCACCACTTTTCATGACCATCTCTGAGATAGAGACATCTTCCTTCTTCTCTGCACATCAGAACTTACATGTCCACTGTCCCATTCGTTTGGGGTTCCGCGTTCTGCTTTAATCTTTTGGGGCTTTGTGTCAGCTCACAAATTTACATCTGTGGTTATAAGTGGGAGAAGGCCAGTTCTTTGGCTCTCTCTGTCTTCCCAAGTCATAAGATTTCCTTCAGCTTTCAGCGTGAGGAATGTCTGTGATAGAAACTCTGTGTGAAGGGGTGTTGCAAGCACAGTGAGCTCGATGGACCCGTGGATGCCACAGCGGGGCATGAGTGCAGTTGTTATGCATTTAACAGTCCTTGAAAGCACTGTTGGCTGACTCTTCTTCAGGCCCTGACTTACGAAATCATGGAGTTATTCCCATTCTAAACAGGCTGTCCTGCTGTTCCCGTGGTCCTATTTAAGCCCCAAGTCGACTGCATAGGCAAATAATGCCGCCCGACTTGGGCACTGCTGCACGACCTTGCAAAATCCCCCTCCTCGCCACACGTCTAGCCCCATCTAACTCCCTGGTTCTGGCACAAATCTGTGTCTCTCCATTAAGCAGGCTCTGTTCTTGTTTTTCTTTCCCTATTTATGTCTGCATTAGTGCTTGCTCCTATTTGTCCCTCTTTTCCTTTCTGTCTTGGGTGGTTCCAGTAGTTTCTCTGTCTGGCATCTTGTAGCCCAGAACCTCTACCTAATATTACCATTCACCTTTCTATTCTCTGTTATTGTCTCTAGGCCCACATATGCCAACCTCGCTTCCTCCAGATGGAAATTAACCATCTCCCTTTGAAATACCATGTTGTAAAGGAAAATCCCTAAATTTTGAAGGAAATTCTTAAGTAGCTTCCATTCAAGATCACATTCTTATAGAATCATCGCGGCTCTCAGACGTTTACCAGTTGCAGTGCATGCTTGGTGGCCATCAATTAGGAGCCTAATTTCCAGGCTGTGCAAGCGAGGAGCACCGCTCAGACCACAATGTTGCCCACTTTATGGTTCTCTAGCACTGACTACTTCTCAAGAGAATGTCTCAAATCCTCCAGCTAATTTGTGGTTGTGATTATTTATTACAGAGTCTCATCCACTGTAACATCACCTCAGTAGTGAAGGTATGTAGTCAATATATGTGCTAAATGCGTTAAAATGTAGTAGCTGTTGGGCGCCTGGGTGGCTCAGTTGGTTAAGTGACTGCCTTCGGCTCAGGTCATGATCCTGGAGTCCCGGGATCGAGTCCCGCATCGGGCTCCCTGCTTGGTGGGGAGCCTGCTTCTCCCTTTGACCCTCCCCCCCTCATGTGCTCTCTCTCTCTCATTCTCTCTCTGTCAAATAAATAAATAAAATCTTAAAAAAAAATGTAGTAGCTGTTGAAATCTGGCAATTCGGGAGAATTGCTTTCTTCCCTGCAGAAGTCTTTGACATTGAACTGCACTTGATTGAGAAGCCATGTAGTGGTCTTTTAATTGTCTTATTCTGTTTTCATCAAGAAAATACAGTGATGAATGTATTCTCCAGAGTATCTGAATCTTATTTTTGCATCCAGTTTTGTCACATGTCAGAACATATTAGGTCTGATGACACGGAAACTTATTCAGGATTCTAGGGTGACTTAAAAAAAATAATACCTTCCTCTAGTTTTAGTCTTTGTTAATGGTGGAAAGTTCAGTCAGTTTGGAAAAATGACAGAAGGCCTGGCTTGGATTTTCTGGACTTTTGATGTTCAATAAATATTTGTTGAAGTGAAACTCAAGTTTGTATGTGTTCTGATCTCATCTCAACTACTAGTTAGTTGGGCAGTGTTGTTGTTTAACTCCCTTGACCTTCAGATTCTTCATCTGCTATTGAAAGAGTGTTGGATTAAGGGATGTGTCAGGTGCCATTTGGCACTCAGGTTCTTTGATTAGAGTCAACTGTATCAGCATTTATAGGCATGATTATCACAAAGTGGTCCTATATTGTGCCTTTGAATGAATAAGAAAATGGCACCCCCTCTGGGCAGACAATTTGGAAAAAGGTGCTGCTTAAGAGTGGATAGATGATGCTTTTGGGTGAATGCAATGTTTCCCTTTCCTTTGAATGGAGAGAGCCATTCTAACTGCCTGTGAGTAAACCCTGGGCTTTTGGCTTACAGTCACCCCCACAGCTGGACACCTTGCTCAGTATACAAAATTCACAACTGTGCATGGCAGTCCTTGCGACCACTCTGATTCACAGCAGTGAATCAGATATGATCCGTAGTTTCATGGAGGAGGGATCCCAGTTGGGGAGCAGCAGGTCTCATCTTTACAGCATGGCCTGGCAGAGGAGGGCTGGTTTCCCAAAGGAAAACAGGATGCTATTAACATAAGGAGGGAGATGGATGCTGAACAAACCATGTAAAATTATTTTTAGGTGGATAAGCTGAGTTGATCGTCAGTCATTCTTCTGTAAGCATACTGGTATTTTATAGTTTCCTGCTCAGTTTTTATTGGTACATACATTCTTTTTATGCTGAGCAATCAATAGTTTTTTCAAACCCCAGCTGATGTAATTGTAAGTTTTATATGTCCAACTGTTGTCTGCTGCCTTACCACTAAAATCTTTCATGTTATTTTACACATTGATCTTTCAGGCTTGGTCCATTTGGTCACAGGGTTTCCTGAATGTATTTGACAACCCTCTGACTCCTTTAGCAGAGAATTGCTTTGGTTTGCTAAAAAAAATTTTTTATGTATATTGATAGACATTAATTGCTTAAATAGGGAAGAAAACTAATTGAAGGTTAGCTTTCTAAGTACACCATGCCTCAGTTGGCCACACTGGTTGGAAGCATGACTAGCATCACTTAGTTACCCCAAAGGAGCCATCTGGAAATAGTAGAGTTCTCTGTCAAGGGCAGAGATGCAGGAATGAGTTTGTGGGCAAAGGGCAGTTCGGGTAAGAGACTAAATTTCGGGAGCTTTGAGACAGAGAGACCCACAAAGTCCAATGTTGTCTCTCTGTTGGGATCATTCGACCAGTAAGAATAGGGGATTCAGTGGGGAGGCTTTGAGGAAATGCTGGTGCTGTCCAGCAGTGCTCCCGTGGTGCCCTTCGTGAGGTGGGCAGAGCCAAGGGGAAGCTAACGGCATGATCTAGTCCTTGTGCTTCTCCCACCTCCCTCCAAACCCAGTATTTCTGGAGGTAGTCGATGCCACTGCACCCCCCACCGCTGCCCCAGGACAGTGGAAACATAATCTGGACGTCCCCAGGGTTGGGCTCAAGGGCCTGCCCTATGGTGGGGACAGAGCCTACTAAGAAGCTCCTGCAGGGCCCCCGACAACAGGGAAAAATAGGCAAAATTTGTCTTCTGGTCTTCAGTCTCCTTTATTTCTCTGTTTGGATTCTTTCTCCTCAAACCTGCTCCCGAGACAAGGCCTGATGCCACGCAATTGTACTTTTGAGAACATGTCAGCCTGTGGGTTTGCCTCTTCCTTAATTCTTAGAAGGGGTGCCTTGTAATTATGAAGTGAAAACTCTTTTAATGGGCTATTTAAGTTCCAGAATAGTCAGGAAGACCTCTTCCAGGGCCAGCAAGTTGGGACAGGGAAAGGACTTCTCAACACTGCTGTAATTCCAATGGACAGACAGACATGGTCCATCTATGGGGCTATTTCAGAGACCACCTGCAAGCTGCTTATGGGGCTGCTGTTGGATTGAGATGTCCTCTAGCTTGTGCCTCATATGTGGATTGTTCATGGACACTGGTTAGGTTTACTGAGGTCCTCCCACTTCTAACTCATGGGTGAGGTTTATGATGGCCAACCTACTTATGCCAGAATGAAGAGTATCTGGGGAACCTCAGTGTTGTTCTCATGGCCACAAGCCAATTTCCGTAGTTTTTCACTGCCTGCATTTTCAGGAAGACTTTAGCTTTATGGGGAAGAAATCAGAGGCCTCTAACCATTTGCTGTTCGTCTAGGTTGCCTTCTGTGGGTTTTAGTCAGACTCTAGTGTTGCCAGAATTACCTCCGACAAGTGTCAGCAGATTTTCAAGGCCACCTGAGAGATTAAGCTCATTTTCTGCCTTCTTCCAGCACCTGCTTCCCTAAGCCCCCACACCCTCGGTACTCCGCTCCTTTGTCAAGAGGGCTTAACTCTACCCCTTCTCTTATAGATGACACAGCTAATTCTGAAACAGATGGAATCAAGGTAAGGTCTTTTTTGTTTTTGTTTTTAAAGATTTTATTTATTTATTTATTTGACAGAGACAGACACAGTGAGAGAGGGAGCACAAGCAGGGGGAGTGGGAGAGGGAGAAGCAGGGAGCCCGATGCGGGGCTCGATCCCAGGACCCCGGGATCATGACCTGAGCCGAAGGCAGACACTTAACGATTGAGCCATCCAGGCGCCCCAAGGTCTTTTTTTTTTTTTTTTTTTTTGAAAAAGCACAGAACGGCATGGCCTCTCTGGCCTGGCAGTTAGCTGACCTGGGGACTTGGGACGGGGTGAAGGTGGTGGGCAGATAGGGTTCATCTGGCTGCAGCTTTAACCAATGGTAAAACTGTGATGAAGGACATGGAGATTGCAGGAGAAAATGTAACATTCTGGACCAGGCCAGCCTTGCAAACAGATAAGCATATTTGAAAGTCAAGTGTAGCATCTACTGGAGGAAGAGAACAGCTATTTCATCACATTATATTAAAAATATTAACTCATGTTGAACATAAAAGAAACTTCAGAGGTTGGCCTGAGATCAAGGCCACCTCTTGCTATTACCCAAACTTAGTGGTAAAAATCACCACCTCTCGGTGTTTCTACTTAGTCCATGGTTTTATTATCCTATTACAACAGCCCTTAGAGAACTGGCTTTTCTCACATGGTATTCATTAAATGCAAATGGTTGATAGTTTTATCTTCCCTAGAGGAAGAGGGGCTTGGCCTTGTAGTCTAATTTGCAGTTCCTTGGTTTTTCTGGATTGAACCCAGCTATTTGAGAAGGATTAAAATTACCCAATTTCAAAAAGATTAAGTAAGGACCCTCGTGTGTGGGTTCCTGTGTGATGGACTGTCAAATTCCACTCAAGACAGGATTCTGCATTTGACATCTGTCCTGGTGTGGGTCCTCTTTAGGGGTTAAAAGGGACCTTGAGCTCATGGGGTCACATTTGAGAAAGAAGGATTCCTTCCCCCTTAATAAGACTGGCTGAGCTGAGTTGGTCCTCGGCATTTTGCTGGGGGATCTTTGTTGTAGCAGAACCCCTGTTTCCAGTCACCAGCCCTTGATGTCAACTGACTGCTGAGTGGCACCACTGTTTGGTGTCGTGATCCAGGCCGTGGGGACGCACCACTCATGGTTCTGGGGAGCAGAACTCGCCGTGCACATGGAAGTCTACAGAGGATGGACTTTCCCGACGAAAGTCACAGGAGCCCCTTCGCTTTCTTTCCTCTCAGGGTGTGGCTCATCAGGCAGCAAACTATTCAGAACTCTACTTCTTTGTGTTTTAGGCAGAAAGGCCTTATCTTGAACATTTCTTCTGGGGTGGCCCTCTTTCCCTGGCCTCTCTACTCCATGTATTCGGCCTCCAAGGTGAGTGACAGCATGGAGCCCAAGCTTCCTTCTCCTTCTTCCTCTTGTTTCTCCCAGTTGGCATTTTCCTCTGGACTTCAGATCATCTGGCAAGCTGATGGACATATTGGCCTGGAGGACAAGTGTCCAGGGGGCTTCTATGTACAGGGCCCGCCAGCAGATGTCTGGGTACAAATTAGAAAAAGCCATGGCCCTGGGGCTGATGGAGCCCTGCAGCGGGATAGGCGCAGCCCCCGTGGGACTCTGGGCCCCACTCACCTCCTTGCCTGGAGCCCTGTTCTCTTGCTGCCAGCAAGTAACACTGGAACTTTCTTCTGTCCTGGGGGCCTGGCCAGGTGTCCCCATGCCCTAGTCCTAAAAACAAACCCTTGGGGCTGGGGGTGTTCCCAGGCAGGGAGACAAGGGAGAGCTCTCCCTGGGTAGGGTCATCTATATGCAGTGGCCCTCGGCATGTATTTATCCCAAAATGTATGTTCTTGCTCATTGAGGGAGCTTTTTCCAGGCCAAGAAACAAAGTCCTAACTCCCATCAGACACACTGCTGCATTTTAAGGGCAAGCAGGTAGGCTCCCTGCAGTCCCCTTTGAAATCTGAAAAAGTGACCTCCGATGACAAAGCAAGCTCTCCCCATAGGTGTTTTCTCCTTCTTGCTCCAGGCTTTTGTGTGCACATTTTCCAAGGCACTGCAAGCCGAATATAGAAGGAAAGGAATCATTATCCAGGTGAGGTCAACAGCTCTGGGTCCTTGGGATGAGGAACTGCAGTACCCCATGGAGCTGGGGCCACTGCCCCCTGCAGGACCGGCTGTGCATGCACAGCCAGGGGGGAGGGTCTGCATGACACCATGGGAGTTCCTGTGACCATCACAGTGGCAACTGAGCCACTCTGGTTCGGCCTGCTGCTCCCTCACGCATGCCCTGCAGGAGGCGGTGCCGTGAGTGAGCACTGCATCAGCACAGAAACTAGGGTCTGGTCTAACCACCCTTGACTCCCTGACCTAGGTACAGGAGACAGGCTTAGGTGGGAGGAATTGTGGAGAAGAAACAAAAGAAAACTGATCAATCGATCCACGTTGGAATGAGGCAGGGGGCTGGGGGTACTTTGGGAGCTGTTCATCTGTGATGGGCCACAAAGATCCCCACGCTGTGGTTCTTGAGCAGTTGAGGAAGAGGTCCTTGACTTCCTCTTTCACCGGCCATGGCAGAACCATCGAGGAGATGACCCTGTCCCAGCTGTCAACAGAACTGGGTTGTCACAGCCATCTGTAGTCTTGAGGTGTCAGGGACAGGCATGGGCTTGGTTCAGCAACATAGTTAGTTAGAGCTAAGTGCTTTCTGGAACCTGGAATAAACAATTTGCAGACATTTTTGTTATTGTTTGGGAAGAAGTTTTATGACCTACTATTAGAAATGAAAAAGGCACCCTCACAGTTAAATCTTTAAAATGATTGCTGTACATACTGATGGTGTCGGCTTTGCGGGCCACAGTGTGTGGTTGTTTATTTTTCTTATCACAACAGGAAAGATGATCAGGCATGTGTCACTCCTGGCTTGTAACTGAAGTGTGAAAGTGGGAATCCAAAGAGCTTTCAATTGCTCCAACTTTGGCTGTATGTGTTAGAAATAAGCCTCTTGCATTAGGGTGCCACATAAAATACAGGACATCCAGTTCAATTTGAATTTCAGATAATAACTTTTATTTTTTTTTAGTATAAGTATACCCCATGCAATACTTGGGACATATTATACTGAAAGTTTTTTTCCTTGTTTGTCTGGCTTTGAAATTTAACTGTCCTGTGTTTTTATTGTTGGTCCGGCCACCATGTTCTAAGAGATAATTCATGTCCTCAGTCACCTTGTGTACATTTGAACCAGCTGACGTTGTGTGGCTAAGGCCTCAGCTTGAATTAGTGATAAAGTTAAACAAGAAACCAGTTTTTCTGAGTCACAGTTCTGTGCCAGCTCTATGCCTTTCCAGTGCTCCATCATCAGGGGAGATCCTGAGGCTTCTTACAGAAGAACGGAGTTGGCAAACGAAGGGAGGGCTAGAATAGGGGTTCACTTCTCAGGGGTGGGCAGATTGCTCCCGTGTTATGGCCTTTATTCCCCATTGTAGGTGCTGACCCCATATGCTGTTTCCACCCCAATGACGAAGTATCTACACACCAACATGGTAACCAAGACCGCCAATGACTTTGTTAAGGAATCACTGAATTACGTCACGATTGGAGATGAAACCTGTGGTTGCCTCACCCACGAACTCTTGGTAACTGACAACTTCTTTCTCAAAGTTCTGGAGGCAGGTGTGCGGGCAGTCCCAGCAGAGTTCTTCTTTGCTATTGGAGCAACCAACCCTGTCCTCTCACGGCAAGGATCGTGCTGCCAGAACCCATGCTGCTAAGCTGTCACACAGCCATGTGAAAGAGCATATGTGGCAAAGTGGGGAGGCTGGGGGCCTGGGGACTCAGCCCAGAGATAACCCCCACATTGGCAAATACCCTCACCTCTTTCCTCAGAAAGTAAGGTGGCTTCCTGAGCTCTCGGGAAGGGCAGACCAAGACACAGGGACCATCCCTGGGTGGAGCTGGGTGCTGCTCTCTTCTCTGGCTCCCTGTGTTAAGAAATGTTTTAATATCTGGCTCTCCAGGAAAAAACCCCAAACACTTTGGTTTGTAGGGTTTGCTGATTTCCATGGCTTAAATAATGCCGCCCCCCACCCCGGCTGATTTTAAGCTCCCATTGTGTTGTCACTGCCCCCGAATTTAGGAATGTGTATAATTGGCTCTTGAGAGCAAGTTCAAGCTGGTTCTAGCACAACATGGACTCCGTTGAATCCGGAAGTAAGATTCAGTCAGTGGCATGTGGTATGAGGAGTTCTTACCATCCCTGGGCTGCTTTTAGAAGCAACCACAAACGTGAAACAAAGGTAGAGTTAACTTTTGCACGCTGATACTGAACACATAGTGCCAGGGTGGTTCTGTTTCCAGTGTCACCAAAAATTTTAGACAGATCTTTTTTTTTTTTTTTAAAGATTTTATTTATTTATATGACAGAGAGACACAGAGAGAACAGGAACACAGCAGGGGGAGTGGAAGAGGGAGAAGCAGGCTTCCCACGGAGCAGGGAGCCCGATGTGGGACTCGATCCCAGGACCCTGGGATCATGACCTGAGCCGAAGGCAGACGCTTAACGACTGAGCCACCCAGGCACCCTAGACAGATCTTTACTTTCCCTTCATATGTCAAATTTCTCCTCTGCCTCATGTGCTTTTCTGTCATGGGAATTAGGTTTCTCCCTACTCTCTTTTTCTCTCAGGTGCTAGAAGGAATACACTGTATCTTCCCAAGCATTTCGTTACCCACTGGGACTTCTGGAGACTCTAGAAGAGATACTGAATTGTCTTAGAGGATCACTTGCAACTTTCACTGTAGAGCTTCAACAATGTGCAGAATCACCAATTTAACACACTCTACAAAGTGGACATACAGAAAGAATATAAGATCTTGATTTTGTCTATTGCTGATATGGTCTTTCTCCAGATTACTACTTGCTGCATGGCAGGAGAACAAATTAATGGAATGTCCAATGAGTTTAAATTTAGTTTGATCTAGTAACCTAAACTGGATATTTAGGAAATGTGCTTTCTGTTAATTATTTAAAGTGTTCAGTCTTTCTGGGACCATCCCTTTCTCCTGCCTCTTTCACTAAGATGATATCAGGGAGAAGAATCTTCATGATCTCCTGCTGGTCCTAAAGTGTGTGTGGCTTTGTCCCATATCTACCTGGTGGTTGTGCACCTTGCTGATTTATGGCTCTGGGGAGCAATGACCCTTTCGGCTTGGCCAGTAAACTCCCACCTACTGAGGACTGCAGAGCCCTGAATCTCTGCTACTTCCCCCATGCAGCCATAGGCCTATGGTTCATCTGGATCTTTGGTTCATAAAGGCCCTTTGGCTCTCACTTCTGTATCAGCATCAACATGGACTTGACCGATGCTGGAAAACCAAATGTCAGCACCTCTCTTGCCATGCTGAGATAATGTTCTATGGTTGCACTCCCAAAGGATGGGGGCAATATCTCCTCTTTTGCCCTCAGTGCCCCCCTTACTTATTTATCACATGTTCATATTCTTCACCTGAATCCCCTGGTCCCCCAGCCCTCCACCCAGCCTAGGTCCACATATAGAAGGACACACATCCTTTGGGATGTTGATGTCTTATATGGAACCCATCAGCATCAGTCTTGAGACCACAGCCTGGCTTGCAAGGTTATCATCTTGCTACACAGTGCAATTCTAGATGTCAAAAGTTGAAACAAATTTTTTTTGGCTTTTCTCTTTTGATTTCTTGTGTAACAAATCAAATCTCTTCTGGCAAATAGATGCCAAGAACAGACTAGGCAAAAGAGTCTTTGTGCCTGTTGAAGCAAAAGAGAAGACAAAGGAGAACATACAAATCATTAAAGCGCTTAAGGCCAATTTGGCATTTGCTGGAATTTAGAAAAATCATTGACTCTAAAGTTTGAGCAATCAAGTAGAATCGACTGGTAAATAAGCAAACCTTCTGTTAGAAAAAGGCAAGGCAAAGACCGCATGCTCTTCACTCCCAAGGAGTTTTAGGGCAGGAACTAGGGCTGGAATAGAGCCTCTAATGTAGAGTCCATGTGGTACGGGGGGTTACTTCACTTAATTCTCCTAATCATCTTGTAAGACAGATCATTTGATTCCTGTTTTACAGTTGAGGAAACTGAAATTCAGAGCTAGATCAGATGCCAAAGTCCACTTGGCTGGTAATGGTGAAGCTAGGGTTTAAGTCCACCTTTGTCCAATGCCGTGCTTTCCCTGGTTTCTTCTAAACCGTCCTTCTAGGTTGGGAGGAGGTAGACAACAATGGAGGCAGAAGAAGGGACTTTTAGAACATTTTCTAGGGACCTGGAACTTTAATTTGGCTGACTTCACTAAGCCAAAACATTTAGTTTAAGGCAAAGCTAATGAAAGGGCTTGATTCTGCTGTGACATTAAAAAGGTCTAAAGGGGAGAAAAATGAAGTTCCTAAGGAAAAATTTGCATTCACTAATCGACTCGGCTAGTGGATGAAGGGTTCTATTTTGTTTCCCCAGAAGCCATCTTTGGCCCCCTGCTTTGAAATATCTCAATGAGTGCAAGAGTCTGAGAATCTGAGCTGTCTGAAGAATAGGAACACTCCCTGAAAAGCTCATATTTTCCTCTGGTTGAAATCCTGTTGTTCAGTGGGGAGTAGGTAGGTTGAGGAATGTTGGATGCACAGGATTACACTGTGGACAGAATGACTGCTTCTGGGTCCTGGACCTGTCTTACAGGACATGGGTATGATTTGAGGGCAAAAGGTCTTCCAACGCCTGTGCCTACTGCCTGATGTGCATCCAACTAAGCATTCATGCCTTGACTTGGAGCCCCCCACGATGCCCCCCCTCCACCTTTCCAAGCAAATGTTCAATGTTGGTGATTTATACTTTGCTGTGTCTGACTTTTGTTCATGAACTCATTGATGCATTTGTGTATTTGCTTAGTGCCTACTCTGCCTCAGGCATTGTGGCAGGTGGTAAAAGCATTTCTGGTTGTTTTCTGGAATCTCATTTTAGTAGAACCTTGGTAAAAAGAACATGAAGACACTGGGAGATTGAACAGTAGGAAGACGAAGTGCTGGCTAAGAGAAGGAGAAAGGGGGGTAGGGTGTTACTCGGGGCACAGTTCTCTTAATTTAAACTTCCTTGGGGTTGATTCTACAAGTGACTGTTTTGGTTTCTGAGAAAACCTTGTTTGCTGAGAAAGGTCATAAGACCTTTAAATTTTAGCATGCACTTAAAAGATTTTGAGACTTAAGTTCAGCAGTCAGAAAAATATTTTTAAAGATGATGAATATACACTGAGCTGTTTCCTTCTAACTTGCTTGCTCTTCTTTCTTCCCCAAATACTCATGTTTTTGTCTATTTAAGCGGAGCTTCCTGAGCCTGATCCCATCATGGGTTTTGTACAGCAGCACATTCCAGAAGAAATACATGGACTACCTCAAGCAGAATACCAACACCATATAGCCCACCCCAAGTGGGCTGACGTGCCATCCAGCATTGTTCTCTTCACCATGTTCCCTGTTGGCTGCAGAACACTAAGGAGCAGAACAGCCCCTGAACTCCCCTGAAGCTGGAGAGGCTGTGTCACAAATACGGTCCACAAATACAAATTTTTTTTTTTTTTGCCATTTTACTTGAGTCTGGAGATCTTTGGGAAAACTGTGATGTCAACACATGTGTGGTGCGGTGGGGTTTTAGGGTTTTGTGTGTGACAAGATAAGGGTGTCTTAGGGGAAACTGGAAGAATTTCTATGTGAGATTATAGTATAAATGTGGTGAGAATAAAGCCTCTGATACTGTGAATATTAAGAACATTTATACATATAAGCTACTTTTATAGCTACGTTAAAGAATGTCAAATGTTACTAAACTTTGCCAAGACTGCTATGGTTCTCGAGCACTCAAACGGGGCTCCTCAGAGACCCAGGAAACTCTAGGGTAAGGTGTGGGGGCAACAGCTACAACAGGCCTGTTTCTGGGGCCTCCCATTTCAATGAATGCAGAACCAGCTGTATCTATTTTATTTATATTTGGGGTTTTATGTCAGAGTGTGTTCGTAGAAATAAAACAGAAAGGCATACATTGATAAAAATAGCTGAAAAACTATTGCACTAATGTAGGAGTTGATACCTGCAGAAATGAGATTTTTACAGGTCTCCAGCTTTGGGGATGCTGGGCCGAGGGCTTTACTTGTCAACACATAGGGGGTGGTGTGTTGGGAGAACTCCTGGCCATCAATTCTTGAGGGAGTCGGAGGGTGAGCATACCAGCTGGTGACCATGTTTTGGCTGGCCTTGGTCAATCTACCCTGTGCTTCCCCCAAGACATCACCATGCTCTAGGCACTGTGGAGGCTTGGTGGCACTCATCTTTTCTGAGACTGTCATTGGCATTTATGGTGTGAAAAAAGAATTTAGGTACTGCTGCTCTAGTTATAAAAGGAGTCTGGGAGATCTGGTTGTAATTTATGGGGCATTTTGATGTTTTGGGGGAAGCACAGGGTAGATAGAACATTTAAAACCTTGGTAAACTTGGAAATCATGGCCTGAAATATCATAGCTTTTATTAAACCTGCTCTGGGGAAAAGAACTGGGAAAAATTCATTCTGAGGCATGGCTATCTATTTAAATTTTCTCAGTTATGGGTAACAATAATAACTACAGTACAGAATGTTTTTATGGTACCCATAGGTATTGGTTATTTACCTGTTGTCTTCTGTCCTAAGCTCCACATTTCATACTCTGATTGTTGATGGGTTGGGCTGGGAAATTTCAGGTTCAGGTCTTAAGATGCTTATGCCAGCAGGCTTTGTGTTAGATTCTGCCCATGGGGGGCAAATTTGGGAGAGTAAAAGAAGGTGAGGCCTGAGGGAAACTCCTTCCTGTTTGCATTCTTGTTACCATCCCTTTGCGGAGGGGACAGCATTAGCCAGACTCGCACCAACCAGGAAGCCGGATGTTAGCACCAGTCCCACAGTGCCCGCTTTAGGGAATTGAGCATTAACCATGCAGAGGCTCCCCCTTGGAACACCTGGTTCCTAGAAACACCACCTCCTCTGCTGGTTCTACCAGCCCTGCAGTTACTGATAACTGAGTTACTAAGTATCCTCTTTTTGCTCTTTCAGCCTTCTGCTGTGGTGTCACCAATTCCTTCTACCAAATCCCTTCTCTTTGAAATGCTCAGTGTGCTTTCTCTTTTTGTCACTGGTCCTGACTGAGACTGCGCTCAGCTGATTATCTTGCCTGATCTGGGATTAGGCTGGATGGGTGGACTTTTTTTTGACAACGAAGAATCAGAAACTCTTTATCAGTCAGGGTCTCCAGAGGAAACAGAAGGCATGATTGAGCAATTGGGGGAATTATTTGCAAATATGTGGGGAGGGTGTAGGGAAGTCATCAGAGCTAGGAGAGTGGTGCTTTCATTACCACAGAACCTTAAGGGGCTGGGAAGGGAGCATTTATAGACCCAGTAGAGAGACAGAGCAAGGGAGGTGGTGGTTGGGGGGAGGGAGAGGAAGAAGAAGAGGGATCGAGAAAGAACAGTGTAAGGAACACTGCCGCAGAGGAGCTTGACCTCTAGCTGAGAGATGCTGCCAGACTTTGGCCACACCATAGACAGGGAGAGAGGAATTGTGATATTGTGATTTATAGTAAGAAATATGTAGGTCATCTTCATCCCCATTCCTTGGAACTTCCCAGGTGATAAGAGCAATAAGTGTGACGGGCGCCTGGGTGGCTCAGTCGTTAAGCGTCTGCCTTCAGCTCAGGTCATGATCCCAGGGTCGCGGGATTGAGTCGCACATCGGGCTCCCTGCTCAGCAGAAAGCCTGCTTCTCCCTCTCCCACTCCCCCTGCTTGTGTTCCTGCTCTCGCTGTCTTTCTCTCTGTCAAATAAATAAAATCTTTAAAAAAAAAAGAACAATAAGTGTGACATTTGTTATTCATAACAAGACCCTTTCAACCACAATTTATGTTAATGAGGCGACTTTTGGAAAGCCCCTAAGGATGGGAGCTGGATGCCAGGGGAACTGACCATGTGATTAGAAGGTTGGAACTTTCAGTCTTTATTCCTCAACCTTTGCGGAGGGTAGAGAGGATGGAGGTTGAGTTCAATCACCAATGACCAATAATTTGATCAATCATGCCTATGTCATTAAGGCTCTATAAACTATGGAGTTTGGAGAGCTTCCAGATTGGTGAACATGTGGAGATGCTAAGAAGGTGGTGTGCCTGGAGAGGGCATGGAAGCTCCACACCTCTTCCCCTATACCTTGCCCCATGCACACCTTACATCTAGCTGTTCTTGAGTTGTATTCCTTTATGATAAATTGGTAATCTATTGAGTAAACTGTTGTCCTCGGTTCTGTGAGCCATTCCAGCAAATGATTGAACCTCGGGAGGGGTTGAAGGGACTTTCTTTTTTTAAAAAATTTTTTATTGTTATGTTAATCACCATACATCACATCATTAGTTTTTGATGTAGTGTTCCATGATTCATTGTTTGTGCATAACACCCAGTGCTCCATGCAGAACGTGCCCTCTTTAATACCCATCACCAGGCTAACCCATCCTCCCACCCCCCTCCCCTCTAGAACCCTCAGTTTGTTTTTCAGAGTCCATTGTCTCTCATGGTTCATCTCCCCCTCTGATTCTCCCCCTTCATTCTTCCCCTCCTGCTAGCTGCTGCTTCTTTTTTTTTTTCTTAACATATATTACATTATTTGTTTCAGAGGTACAGATCTGTGATTCAACAGTCTTACACAATTCACAGTGCTCACCATAGCACATACACTCCCCAGTGTCTATCACCCAGCCACCCCATCCCTCCCACCCCACCCCCCACTCCAGCAACCCTCAGTTTGTTTCCTGAGATTAAGAATTCCTCATAACAGTGAGGTCATATGATACATGTCTTTCTCTGATTGACTTATTTTGCTCAGCATAACAACCTTCAGTTCCATCCACGTCGTTGCAAATGGCAAGATCTCATTCCTTTTGATGCGGCATAATATTCCATTGTATATATATACCACTTCTTCTTTATCCATTCATCTGTTGATGGACATCTTGGCTCTTTCCACAATTTGGTTATTGTGGACCTCTAGCTGAGAGATGCTGCCAGACTGCTGCTATAAACATTGGGGTGCATGTACCCCTTCGGATCCCTACATTTGTATCTTTGGGGTAAATACCCAGTAGTGCAATTGCTGGATCGTATGGTAGCTCTATTTTCAACTTTTTGAGGAACCTCCATACTGTTTTCCAGAGTGGTTGCACCAGCTTGCATTCCCACCAACAGTGTAGGAGGGTTCCCCTTTCTCCACATCCCCGCCAACATCTCTTGTTTCCTGACTTGTTAATTTTAGCCATTCTGACTGGTGTGAGGTGGTATCTCATTGAGGTTTTGATTTGGATTTCCCTGATGCCGAGTGATGTTGAGCACTTTTTCATGTGTCTGTTGGCCATTTGGATGTCTTCTTTGGAAAAATGTCTGTTCATGTCTTCTGCCCATTTCTTGAATGGATCATTTGTTCTTTGGGTGTTGAATTTGATAAGTTCTTTATAGATTTTGGATACTAGCCCTTTATCTGATATGTCATTTGCAAATATCTTCTCCCATTCTGTCAGTTGTCTTTTGGTTTTGTTGACTGTTTCTTTTGCTGTGTAAAAGCTTTTTATCTTGATGAAGTCCCAGGAGTTCATTTTTGCCCTTGCTTCCCTTGCCTTTGGCGATGTTTCTAAGAAGTTGCTGTGGCTGAGGTTGAAGAGGTTGCTGCCTGTGTTCTCCTTTAGGGTGTTGATGGACTCCTATCTCACATTTAGGTCTTTCAACCATTTGGAGTCTATTTTTGTGTGTGGTGTAAGGAAATAGTCCAGTTTCATTCTTCTGCATGTGGCTGTCCAATTTTCCCAACACCATTTATTGAAGAGACTGTCTTTTTTCCCCTGGACATTCTTTCCTTTGTCAAAGATGAGTTGATCATAGAGTTGAGGGTCCATTTCTGGGCGCTCTATTCTGTTCCATTGATCTGTGTGTCTGTTTCTGTGCCAGTACCATACTGTCTTGATGATGACAGCTTTGTAATAGAGCCGGAAGTCCAGAATTGTGATGCTGCCAGCCTTGCTTTTCTTTTTCAACATTCCTCTGGCTATTCGGGGTCTTTTCTGGTTCCATACAAATTTTAGGATTATTTGTTCTATTTCTTCGAAAAAAGTGGATGGTATTTTGATGGGGATTGCACTGAATGTGTAGATTACTCTAGGTAGCATTGACATCTTCATAATATTTGTTCTTCCAATCCATGAGTGTGGAACGTTTTTTTGTTTCTTTGTGTCTTCCTCAATTTCTTTCATGAATATTTTATAGTTTTCTGAGTACTGATCCTTTGCCTCTTTGGTTAGATTTATTCCTAGGTATCTTAAGGTTTGGGGTGCAATTGTAAATGGGATCGACTCCTTAATCTCTCTTTCTTCTGTCTTGTTGTTGGTGTATAGGAATGCCACTGATTTCTGTGCATTGATTTTATATCCTGCCACCTTACTGAATTACTGTATGAGTTCTAGCAGTTTTGGGGTGGAGTCTTTGGGGTTTTCCACATAAAGTATCATATC